CAACTTAATGCTGTTTTTAAATTGTTTGTATGCAGATGCGCATCACCTAAAGCTGACCAACTAGCACTTAAATATAGAAAAAGTAAAAATTTTATTTTAAAAGCTAAAACACGAAAAAAAAAAACAAGATTCAAATATTTTTCTTTATAATTTACCCAGAGACAGGTGGACGTCGAGAAACAATTTGTAATGCTTTAACAGCATTATAAACATTATTTATTCGAAGAGAAACAAGTCCATAACGAAAATGAGCCCAAGTTTTTGTATTATTCATAGCAAGAATACGTTCAAGAATTTCTAATGCATCATACTAAATAGAGAAGAGAAATAACCAAAAAACCAATGACGAAAACAATTTATAATTTACAATTTGTTCTGCTTGAAGAAGATTATCTACATAATTTATTTGTACACTTTCAATATTTTCATTTAATTCAAATGCACGTTTTGAATAAGCTAATGCTTCAGATAAACTTTGTTCTATTTCATTATAATATCTACTTAAACATGCATAACTTTCCCAGAAATATTCATCAAGTTCAATAGCCTAAATTAAATATAAAATAGATTTAAAAAAAAAATGAAAAATTTGTTGTTTTTTTCTGGATGCAATATTAACTTTCGTAAATGCATATTTGCATTGTTCTTTATCGAACATATCATTTGAACGTTGAATAGATAAATAAGCTTGACCAACTGATAACCAACCTTGAACAGTTAATTCAAATAATTCTTCATTATCATTAGCTTCTTTCAATGCAGTTTGTACTCTAAAAGATTTCGCAAAATAAAAGTCAGAATCAATTTATTAAAGTATAAAATACATTTTGAGAAGTTCACTAGGATATTCTTCAATTAGAGCCAATTGAAGACGACAAGATAATTCTTGACTTGGATCTAAATTATCTTTTATTATTTCGTAACATGCACGAGCGTCAGTTGATTTATTCATATTTATATAAGCATTAAATTGACCATAAACTGCTCGATCATGAAATTTATTTGGTACATTTCGAACCTATTTAAATAAAATTTATTGTATATAAAATAGTCTTCGAATATTAAAAACAACAAAATACTTTATCAAATATTTGAATAGATTTTTCATGTTGACCTTGATCATAAGTTATCATAGCTAAACAAAGATCTATTAATGATTCAATTGATGATACAACATCTTTCACAATAAAATTTGTCAATTTTGTTCGTGCTAAATAAAAAAAAAAACCATAAATATTTATCTATATTTCTAATTAACTTACCAACACTAGTCATGTCTATTGTTTCTTTAATAATATGTAAATGAGCATAACAAACCATTTTAAGAATCACAACAAGATGATGACCATCTATTAAAAATCTAAGATTGAACAACATCCAAAAGAAAATAAAATATGATTTACCATCTTCTAGATTAAGATTAAGTAATGATTCCAGTGCAGTCGAATATTTGCCATTTCGCATTAAAAAATAAGCTTTACCACAAATTGATGGTGCTGATGTTTGATTATTCTCATCTGAACGAATACGATTTAATGCATCAGTTAATTTTGCTACAGGAGCCAATGAATCATCTAATAAAAAGATCAGATAGAAAACAAAGTTGTTAGCACAGTCCCTGTGGAACTAAAATATGAAACACAATGTAATTATTCTTGCTAATCAAAGGAATATTGTATTATATGATTTATTTTTGGAATATATTTCTTCGCCATCCGTTTACTTAATCCTTCAAAAATGTTACAGAGGAGTAGCTTAATAAGACGTTATTGATATACAGTCTATCATTGTATATCAACAATGACTATGACGCGAAAGAATGTTGCTCAGGTGTCTATCACGATATATGATAGTCTCTACCTAGCGTCTGTCATAGTTTGAAGTGAGAAGAGAGTGCGTTCAAAGTTCTTCTCTGAATACTTCAACACTCTTTTTAGATCGTGTTTCATAAAATAAAATTTTAAAATCATTTTACATATTTGTGGTAGTAATGTTTCAAGAACAATAATAATTATTGTATTTTGAGCTACAGTCGAGTTCGGAAATAGTGTCAAACATTCATTACAATAATCAATAATATCTGAATTAGAACGGCCCATCTAGAAGAAATTTAAAAGAATAAAAACTTAATAATTTGAAATATTTTCTTACTTGACAAATTGATTTAATATATTTTTCATAGTAATTTAAACGTTGAATATTATCTGAACTACTTTGTGAAAGCCAAAAATAATTGCTACTCAACTAGAATTAAAAAAAAACAATTATAAAAGAAAAAATTATAATGAAAGGCTAACAAATTCATTTAAATTCGTTGGCAATGTTTTTATCGATGAGAGTATATCAGTAGACAATAATCGATAAACTCGTTCATCGTCTTGACTTAATTGAAGACGTTTTTCTTCAACAATATCTTTACAAAGCTCAGCTAATTGTATTCGATATGGATTATTTTGTTCATTTGTAGTTGTTGATTGACATTCGATTTGTTTCTTTAAATATTCAATATATTTTTTTGCATGATCAAAGAATTTGATTGGATCCCTATTAATTAAAAATCAAACAAATATTTCTCATTTTTGTTTTCTAACATACGATGCACGAGTCAATGAACATAATTTTCGATATGCACTACTAACATCACTTTCACTAAGAAAACCTGGAGCACGTTCACCTAATTGTATCATACCCTATCGAAAGAAACATCAATACAAATCTTCTTCATCAAAAAAATTAACAATGAATTCTACTTGATAAGCTAGCGATTGATTTTCATCAAGCTCAAATGCTTTATTCAAAGCAGCATGTGCTTGATGAAATTGTTTTAATTCTTGTGCACAAGCAGCAATCATAATCCAACCTGTATAACATGTTTTATCTTTTTTAATAATTGCCTAAAATATAAAAATAAGTACACATATATAAATATCATAATGAATAAGACAACAACAAAAAAAAATATTACTTCACATAATTTCAAAGCTCCAGTATGATCTTTTTGATTAATAAGTTCTCGAGCTTGTTTTAATTGTGCTTTAATTTCTTTTGCAATCGTAGCTGTATCTCCAGTCGCTGAGGATGCCATTTTTAAAGAAATATTCTATATCTATAAAAACTAATAAGTACAGAATTTTTGATCTCTGAATAATTTTTTTTGTTTCGAATACAACGAAAACAAAAGATCTATACAAATATATATGTATACGGTATATTGGATTTAAATACTTCGATGCATAATTTTAAATTCTGAGGAATTAGATGGACTTTTAATATATTGAACAATCCATTGTCGTTCAAACCAAAATTTTGTTTGAAATGTTTGTAATTCTTGATCAGATTTATACGAATCAAGATCAATATCAAGATCAAGTTTAATTATATTCGGCATTTGAGTAAGTAATTCAGCCCATTGATGTCCATTAGCATATGCTTGTAAAGTAGTCTTAACAGATAAATGATGTATTTTTGAAAAACGTCGAATTAATTCAAACATTGGTTGAAATGTTCCAATAGTAACATGTATTTTAAAATAAGTCATCTTTGACATAAGATTCGAAAGACCATCGCAATCAAGACATGTTAATCCATGAGGATAAAAATATAAAGCACAACGAATATTTATTTGTATGCAATCAAAAGAAATTTTATTTAGAAAATATTTATGAAAAACAGTAAGAATTTTAAATGGAGGACTTGTTTCGATAAAAACATGTGTAAGATGATTATTTTTATCAATTGAATAATGAGAATCATTAGCAAGTACAAGTTTACAAATTCTTTCGTTTAGTGAACAACAATAATTTTGTTCAAGTAGACGAAGTGAACGTAGAGATGACATATTTGGTATGATTAAAAATAATGTTTCTAATTGCTTTTGATTAAGTGCAGTAAGTGAAAGAAATCGAAGATTTGAAAATTGAATCAAATTAAATGATTGAATAAACAAATCAATTATTAATTCTGAATAACATGATGAAGAAAAACAAGAAATTATTTTAGATGATTCTCCTAAATCTATAGCCATTATTTGATCAATTATTTTTGGTACAATATGTTTTAAAACGCGTTTATATTCAATCTTATTTAAATTATTAAAGTTTAGTTTCATTGGTATATATCGAATTATTCCATTTAAACGATGATTAAGTCCATAAAATGAATTTATAATATCAAATGAAGATAAATAATCAAATATTTCTCGATAAATTTCATTTGGTAAATAATGAAATTTTGTTACATATGATGATTGATCTAATCTCTCAATATAAAATAATTATATCTCAATAATAATACTATTAATAAGCATACTTATTATTTCTTTTTCATATGCAATTTTTAATCGTTTTACAATAATATTTTTCTTTCCAGTTGAATTTAATTGACGTTTTTTTAATTCATTTTGAATTTGACGATAAGATAATTCATTAATGATATTTATTTGAGAAGAAAACATAACTACAAAAGAAAACATAAGCAACCAAAAAAATTTCGACATCATAGGTTTTTTTTTGTTCTAATAAAAAAAATTTGTCATTCTTATAATTTCTCTTGAACTTTTTCATTATGTGAATTTCATTAAGAGAACAAATCATGAGTTTTATCCAATGACTAACCATCATACTTTTCTTTTCTTTTTTTTTGTACAGAAAAAACAAAGACCTCAATATGTTGTTAATTATATATCAAAAGAGAATTTAGAATCAACATTGAACATAAAAACTTTGTTGTTTGTTAAATATGTATCATTTGACATGAGTAAAAAGTGAACAATAACAAATAGTTGTTTCTTATTACACGGCGTAGACAAATAGAAAAAAAGAAACTACACACGCACACAGCATCTCAAACTACAAGTATAAATAACAGAGAACCCGATGGAATGAAAGAAAAAAGTGTGAGTATGATGATAACAAAGCAGGAACAAAGAGAGGAAAAAAAAAGATTAACAAACAATTTTTTCTTCAAATAAATGAACTATCAAGATGATATTTGTTGTTTATTTAAAGTTCATCATCGGGTGTTTTTTGACTCTTCTTCTTTGATCCATTACGATCATAACCTTGAAGAGGTTCTGTAGCTTCCTTAGCTAAATATTTGATAAAATCATCAACTTCACGTCCACCCTAAAAGTAATTGATTCAAACAAAAACATATGTTATATGACACAAAACAAAAATAAACTAACATCATATCTGCGTGGATTATCTTTGTTATTCTTGGGTGCAAAATAAATTGTTGGAAATCCTTGAACATCATATGGACTTGGAACATCATTTTCTGTAGCATCCATTTTAGCACTAAAAAAATAAAATATTTACTAATAAGAAAATTTGAATATTTATTTTTTTTTCTCATCTTACATAACAAGATTTGGTTCTTTTCGTAAGTTCTTAGCTAATTCATCATATTTAGGAGCCAGTGATTTACTAAAGAAAATAAAGTATGAAATTGAGTTTTTCATAATTTTTAATAAAAATTATTTTATCTTACCAATGACCACACCTAGAAAAATGAAAAGAAAAATATTTTAATTTAAAATAAAACATAAAATTTTGCTTTTACCATGGTGCATAAAATTCAATAAGAACATCTTTTGATTTATCATTAACAATTTCATTAAAATTCTTTCCTACAACAACTTTAACATCACCAGTTTGTTCAGGTATTGGTTGAGATTTAATATATGGTTCAAGATCATCATTAACAACTTTACGAGCAAAGTCTTCAAGAAGTTCAAAAGTAAAATCTTCTAACATTTTATATTTTTCATCAGCAGCACCCCGAGCAAGTACATATTTTCCATCTTTTTTAATGTCATCAATTCCAAATTCGTTTAATTCATTACGAAATTCTTCAGCATTGCTTATAGCAAAACGAACATTAACATTTTCATCAGCTAATTTTTTCGCAATTTTTAAGATACGATTACGAACATAATTTGTACCCTTAGTATCACGAACATAATCAACATTGTAATAAACAACAACAGTTGGTTTAGAAAAGTCAGCAGTATTTGATGGTGTGCGATGACCAACAAGACCATGACTAGAATAAATGAATATATATGTGTATGGTGCAGCAAATTCAAAATTTTAAAGAATTTTTGTTTTCAATTTATCTGATGTCGTTGGATAGAATACATCAAATTGCCTATGAAAAACTAATTTCACAGTTTTTGATAATAAGTTATTTTTGGAAATATTGGGCAAAGACTAAATTCTAAACATCATAATTAGAATCGTCTATTATCACAGATATATAAATATATTATTGTTTTTTTTCAATTTGTCGAACATCGTAAGAGTCATTTTCTGATTCTGCAGATAATATAAACCAAAAATTTTGATGTATATAAGATTTTTTGGTAAATTTTATCTGCAGAATCAGGATATAACTTTTATAATGTTCTACAAAGTAAAAAAAGAAAATGTTTACATCTGAAATAATGGATGACTCTCATCATGATACTTAAAATTTAGTCATATTTTCAGTATCTCGCCTGTAATTTTCTAAAACTTTGATTTTCCGACGCCTTATTTTAATAATTGCACAACAAAAAGACCAAAAAATCTTACATTTTTTCTTGAATAAATGTTTTGATTTTGTTACCAACACCTTCAACAGCTGAAACAGCATTTTCAAATTTTGATTGTAATCGTTTTGGTTGATGAATAACAATTTTACTAGACAGCACAAAGAAAAAAGAAATTTTTGTATCAAACAAAAAAGAAAAAAGAAATTTCATACTTTAAATGCTCAACTTTATCAAGAATTTCTTTTGATGTTGTATAAGCAAAACGAAATTTTTCAGATAATTGATCAGCAGTTTTAATAAGATCATTTTTTAATGAATTAGTATCACTGTCAAAATAACCTATTTTAATAAATATTTAAATCATAGTTTTTCATTGTCTTTCTATAAAACATACCAATGATACTGTGATCGAAATGATCTAAAAATTTTTCATAATCAGCTAATGTTTCAAGTATTCGAAATGATGGACCAGCTTTTGATCGCATTGTTGAAACAATACCATCTAATATATAGATAAATTTGTTTTTTTTTATTAAATTAAATTAGTTTTTAATCATAAACATACCGGCTTCTCGTGGGCCATTGTAATCTTCAGCAAATTCACCATTTTTAAAGATTTTCAATGCTAAATTATAATCAAAGTGTTATTATTATTATTGAAAAAAACAAGTTCTTCTAAAATAAAACATACTTGGATAACCACTAACACCGTGTTTACCACAGATTTTGGTTTCAACAGTACAATCAACCTGAAGAGAATCAGAACTTTATTATATTATTAATTGAAATCTATTTTACTTACTTTAGCTAAAGGAACAGGTGGATCATTTTTTAACAACATAGTAGCAGCTTTTTCATATTCTGGTGCAAGTCGTTTGCCTTTTGAGAAGAAAAATAATAATTAACTATTTATTTATGAACTATTATAATATAACACTTACAATGGCCACACCATGGTGCATAAAATTCAACAAGAATAACATCATGTTGACGAATTTTTGTCTCGAAATCACTATCAGTAAAGACGAGCACATCACTTGCTGTTACAAATGTTGTTAGACCAACTAATAAAGAAATCAAGAGAACAACTTGCATTTTTGTTCGATTAATAAAGAATCAATGAAGTTTGATCTATAAAATTACAAGAAATTTTTACAAGGATATAAATGTAAAAACAGCTATAATAACAGAGCAATATGATCTGTCTCTTTGTTGTTAAATTTTCTATCAATAGAATTGCTGCAGCTGGCTTACGAATGTGCACCACGAAAGGAAAGAGAAGAATTGTAGACTTGGAAATGTTCGATTGGATCGATCGTGACTTTCGTTTTTTACAGCTAAAATTTGATAATTTCATCTTAAATTTTTATTTTAATATTAATTATATATTTATTAATGAAATTAATTATATTGTTAATTGAAAAATTTTTCATAGAGGATACATAAATAATATTGATTGGTCGAGAGAACTGACAAATATGAAACAATCAATCATAACTATGAGAGCTAAACAGAAATAGAGATAACATGTTATTATATGACAAACATTCATTTGAAAATGTTACCTGAATTTAGGAGTCAATTTTTTCAATTACCACTTATTTCAACAACATGGGCGTATACTCGAAATCGGTATATAGAAGTACAAAAGAATTCTTTTTTTCCAGTTCGTTTTCTTTTATTCATCATCGAACGAACAATATTATTAATATACGAAAATATTATTCGACCTCTGCTCAATCCATGTTATCCATACGGTAAATTTTTCTAACAACAGTGCCATCGGTTATTCACATTCGTTCTCTTTATTAAAAACCAAATTTTTTTCTCCAGAAGTCAATTTTTCTTTTTCAAAAGAACTCTTAGGAATCTCAAAAACATCTCGAATATCAACAATAACAACAAAAAAAACCATTTGCAGAGATCAATAAAAAGAAAAAGAAATATTATAATTCTTTTGTCTCAAATACAGGTTAAAGAATAGTTGTTTAATCACTTCTCTTGACACGAATTTTAACTATTTGACCATCATACTTGAATATTTGCCAGAGAATACTATAAGCTATATGGTGGTATAATATTAGTGAAAGATTATAAAAATGAATTTGTCAAAAGCATGGAAAAAAGTGTGTCTAATGTAAACTTTTCAAATTTATGTATTTTACATAGATGAAGTGGATTTTATTGTCTGTTTATTCAGCATTCTAATCATCAAGTTCAAAAGTGCTGTTTTCAATATTCGTGTTTCATAAAAGTTATTCAATGTTGTTGTCGACTTCTTCGTAGTCTTTTGCATTTTTATAATGATCTATAGGTTTCTTTGACAAAGGACTATTATTAAAAAAAAAACTATTCCAGCATCTATAATAAAATATACTTCTTTTTCTGATCATGTTAGTTAATAGTCTTCATGTTCAATACTATCGCTAATGAATTTTCAGTTGGTAAATCAATCTTCATTTCTGTTAAAATTACATAGATAAGAATAATTAATTCAATGACTATCTACAAACAGTAGTTATCATATATATAAGTAAATATTCATATAAGACAAATAAAATAATAGGTCACAATGTTATAAAAACCTTATGATAAGGCAAGTGATACAGATGCATCACAATGAGTTATCATTCTACTCGTTTTAATTGTCACCTTATAAAAGTAGGGTTAATACTAGTGGATGATAACATCTATACGACCATAGTCTGAATAGATAATAATAATCTTTTGTTGCACAAAAAAAAAAGAATAGAAAAAAGCAAAAACAAATCACAAACGAAAATTTCAAGTTGAATTTATTTGTTTTAGTGAACAAATTGGATCAGTATCTCTGTTCACATATTGATTCTATTCGAAATATTTGTCCAATTATTGATCATACGTCAGATGAAGTAATTGAACGTTATAGTGATTTATTCTTCTTATCATTTACGAATAAAAATATGAAATCATCAACAGTTAATAATAATTCTAATAATGTAAACAATATTCATGAAGAAAAAAGATTTAAATTTAATCAACCACTTTCTCAATTTTTAACAAATATTTTAATGATGATTGAAAACTATTCGAAATATATTCATCATGAATTAAATAGTCATATTGAAAGATATCGAAATCTTTGGAAAAAGTTGAATATGGAAGATGGACGATCATTAGATGAAGTTAATGTAAGATATTTTGATTTCTTTAATCAAAATTATTATCTATCGATTGTATTCATAAGCATTCTTTGTTTCTGTCTGTGATTTAGATGAATCTAGTTTTTCTTTCTATTTTGATATAATTCTTTGAAATATGAATATTAGAACTTATATTTAGTCATTTTCGGAAAAATTACTTGTACTTGGTCGTCGTATGACTGGAAATTATCGTCAATTTGTTTATCTTATTCGTTATCAAATGAAACGATGTCGATCTATACTATTTTCATTTTTACATTTTCAAAAGCGTTTTCGTTCAATTCTATGGCGTTTTACTCGAAAAGTATTTTACTATTCTAGTTATCTCGATTTCATAGATTGTTTTGTTATTTTTGGAACAGATTCGAATGAATGAAAATCTCAATGATCGTGCACGTTATGGATTAGTAATATCAAAAGAACGTATTCATCGTTACTTAGAGATAATAATGCTTCATGCAACTAAACATCCATGGATGAGATGGAGACAAGTATAGATCATTCTTAGCTTAATTTAAAAAAACGAATATTTATTGGAATATTTATGTTTATATTTTAGTCACGATTATGTCAAGTATCCGAATCACAGGTTTGTATTATAATGTAATAAATTCAAAAACATTTTTCTTTCTTACATTCTTTAACAAGAGTTGAACTATTTTGATTTTCAATATAAGATATAGACTTGACTTATTATCTCCAGAAAAAAAACTTTTTTTTGATAATTTTGATCTAATTATTATCTTATTGTCTTTGGTATTTAGCTTGAAAGACCATTAAAGTTTATCCATCCAATGTTCTTTCTTTCATCCAATAGTACTTCAGATTGTAGCGGATCCGAAGATAATCGTCGAGATGAACCTTTTAATATTTTTCAATCAACACCATATCGAAAAAATTATAAATATTCTAATGTAATCCAGTCTAAAGCACAATTTGAAGATGTTTTATCAGATATTTCTTCATCTTTATCAAGTACATCTGAACAAAGTTTCGATGTTAGAGATATTGTTCGACAAGTAATATAAACTAAAATTATGATATTTTTGTTTTAGTTTTTGTCTATTAAAAAAAAGGTTGGCTCACAGTATCGTCAACTGTCAGATACAAGTAGTTCAACAGATCAAGATGATGAAAATCTAGTTATTGAACAAGCATTAAATGAAACGGATGATGATGAACAACACGAACAATCAGTTTCTGTATTTGATCTTTCTCCTATGCTTGCTAGTGGTTGTGCTGTTTGAACACAACAATAAAAACATTAAAAAGACTTAGAGTTTTATGTAAACATAGCTATTGAGTCATAACATAAAAATGTTTTCGGCGTTTATTTGTTGTATTCTAATTTTTTTCTTTGAATTCATGACACAGCTCACAAAGAGTATTAGTAAAAGATGCGAACATCTTGAAGGAAAACCAAATCTAAGTCTAACTATATGACAGTGAGTGTATATTCTTTATTTATAACATCTACATTCACACGTTATGACGATCAAACTTTCTGTTGTTTCATCTAGAATTTCATTCGCTTACAAGCACAAAAATGATCACGAATGGATAAATTAGAATTGTTAAATTGTCTGACCAGTTTGCAAATAGCCCTAATCATTTTCGAGGAACTTGAGATGAACTGTCGAGTTTCATTCTAGTTTCATATTATGAAAAAGACAAAACAGTAAGTTCTCGACACTACAATTAACATCTACATGTTCAACTATCTTCAATACTATATACGTCTCGATATAAATGCAAACGATTGTAGTTAATTTATTACCTTGTCACCAATATAAAGGAAGCTTTTAATTACAAAATAAGATTACCTTTTCTATGATGTGAATAATTCAGATCTTATTAGTGTTATAATTCGAATCAATGCCACACCATTGCACACTACTTTCTAATGCTAAGGATAATACACTCCATTAATTTGAACCAATCATCGTTCATCTGTGGGAGATGATTTATTCTCCACACAAGGTTTTGTTCTTACTTCTGTCAATCTAATAAAGATTAGCATGGTTTCATTTTTCAATTGTGCATAACTTTAAAAGATAAAGAAACTGGAAAGGGTGATATTATTACATGCCTAATTCTCATTCCAGAGTTCTCGGACAGTTATCGTTGAGTGGTATGTATGTGTACAGATTTAGTTTTTAGTTCATAAAAGAAATTTCTTGGTTCACTCATTGAAAACATACATGTAGATTTTAAAAAAAAAATTAGTCAATAAACTGATCTATAGTTAAACAGCAAGAGACAATAAGCCAATCTGTTCAAAGCAAGTATAAAATTTAAATCAAATTGAATCTTTTATTTATTAACAGAAAAAGAAAGAATTAGCCAAAACATTCACAAAAAAAAAAGTTATTATATAACTTGAAGAAACTATGTATAGGACATGATTTAAACATTTAAAAGCGCTTACCTGATGGTGTGGGTGTCGATATTCTTTTCTGTCATCCAGTCCCGCCTCCTCTCCCACCTTATTTTAACATATTATATCATAGCTAAGGAGAGGGTATGGACGAACGTCATCTGTTTCAAGCAGTTACTCCGATATTCGACCCTCAATAACGAATAATGAGTACTTCATGTAAAGAAAGTCTTGAGAAATTCTCAGAAGTGTTGGTCTTTCATCTGTTTGTCTAAACGCCTAATCGATTTTCTCAAATTTTTTGGATACTAATGTTCTACAATTTTCTGATACGTCATATGTTTCTTACTTTTTTCTTTTTATTAAAGTTAGTGTGATAAAAAGCGGTGATCTACAGAATGTAATTGATTTTCACTGCAAAAGAAATGAAAAAAAAACGTTAGAGATTAGAAAATTATTGGTAAAATAGGTTCACTAGAGTATGATTCGGGTATTATTGTATTGACATAAAGAACTTGATTCGTTTAGTATTAAATAATACTTAGCAATAAGGAAAATTAGCTATTAGAATGATCCATACATTCAAAAAGAGATGATTGTTGTTTTGTTAGGTTACTCGAAAAAGTGCACGAATATTGTTGAAAGAATTTACAAAGATAATTCAGTCCATGAAAAGAGTTCTCAATGAAGATTTAATAGAAATGATGCTGGGAACTTCCAATGGAATCGAAAACCAAGAAGAAAAACGAATTTTCATAATGATTAGGAAGAATTTTATTCTAGATGAAGTTGGACGATGATATTTGATGATAGAATCATATATTAAGAATGGTTGTTAAATATCAAAAATGATGTTGTTTCGGCTCTATAAAGTCTCCTAAAGAAATTATTATACTCTATATGCATGAATTTTAAAGGATCTTAATAGACTAAATGCCGATGTAAGACTAGACAAGAATATAAATCAAGAAAAACGATAACAATTATGTTGTATTAAAATACATGAAACGAGAACTAATAGCATTGTATAGTTTTCCTAGGCTATGTCTTGCACTCATTTTGTTGTGAATCTCGGTGACCAATGGATCTAGTGAATACGAAAACTAGTTTCAAGATCATTATTGTCCAACATCTATTCGATTGAACTGCTAAGTCAATCTTATTTGCTTATCATTGCATTCGAAAGATCATATTATGCTTCGATTAAATATCAATACATTCTCTACAAAGAAACTAGTGATCAAAATCTGAAAAATGATGATGCTTTACATCAAAGGATTGAGTTTTCATCAGTGCAGTAATCATTACTTTTCTTTAAGAATTTGGTTATGTTTGCGTGTTGCAAGAATTCGATCCTACATTTTTCTTTCTCATTCAAGTACGATCAACTTCGATTCCAATCCAACTCAAAATTCAGATTCAGAAAAAAATTGCAAAACTTTCAAACTTTTTAAAATGAAATTACTCGCTATGTTCTTCAGCGAACATATCAGGAAATGATAAAGTTTATTTCTTCAAAGTTAGAAAAATATTGAAGAAAGAAGTATTCTTTTCACATCAAATTTGAGACTCCGCATCCTTTTAAGACAAATTCAATCCGATGAAAATTGAATCCATACAGGTTTTTTTATTTTTAACATAAGAATATGCAAAAGATTAAGCCAAGCAAACGCTTAAAAAAAGAAACAGACATGTCTTCTTTAGATAAGCGACATTTCGATGAGTGCTCCTGGTACATAACACCCGCCAACTTGTGAATACGCCATGCCTTCGAATACTTTTCTTGATGCGTTCCAACTAAGTTGAATGACATCTTGATGACCCAAATTTAAATTCTGATTTCCTGTACCGATCTATGGGCAAAACCATATTTAAAATCAATTAGCGTGTTGTCTACATTAATAAACCTACTTGATAACGTTGTGTCATCTCAATTTTGCCAGTTACTTCTGAAAACGATCCATTCAATACATATTGACCAACATTATCTTGTCCATAGCCGTTTATTGTTCTAGTCATAGGATTGAAGACAAGTTGTTGTTTAAAGGGTCCATACCACTGATTATATTGATAATATTGATATTTCCATAAACCGGACACAAAAATGGTGTCTTGTGTTTGTTGATAGTTTATGACAGTTCTTGCCGTACTCTGTGAATATAGCATGGTAATCACTTTAATGAAAACTCAATCTTAACAAACATTACTCACCATATGAGGAGCGTCTTTTGTTTTGCGGGAAGTTTCTCGATTTGTTATCCCAATGTATTGATCATCATTGACTATCTCTAATGTTTGCGGCTGTGGAAAGTCGTTGTCAAATTCATCAGATTCATCCTTAATGAAAACATTTTGAAAATTTCAAACAAAAGATAAATTCGATTTTATATTACTGATTCGATGTCAGCTTGAGCGTTTTTATTTTGTTTTTCATTCTTCGGTAAATTAGTCAATCCAATACCGAAATTGAGATCGTTCGAATATTGAGTTAGTTCACGATTCAAATCTAGAAACTTTTTCTCATAGTCTTTGTTATTTATGAGACGTTTAAACCAACTGGCTTCTATAAAAGTACTGATAAATTCGAGACATTGTCGTAGAAACGTTTCCAAACGATAAAGTGCTCTATGCATCGCTTGATTCAAACAATGAGATAAATCTCTTTCTGCCAAAAATCCGATCAATGTGTCGATGCGTTCACTCAATTGTTCACATTGTTGTTTGTTGACTTGAACTCGTTGAGTAGTTTCTCGGATATCAGTGGAAATTTTATAAATACTGCTTAATACAGGTATTGATTGTGGAACAGTTGTCAGTGCCACTGAAATCGTACTCATAGCGGAAGAACTTGCAAGATCCATGTTGTTGAGATAAGATATTTAATCAGTGCTGTTGTATTCGAACAAGTCAATGTGTAATCAAGTAGTGTATAATATTGAAGTGAAAAACATCTATTTACATTTATATTCACCTGTTATATCTTACGGCTATGTGTCTGTTTTCGTGTGCAAATCATATATGTCTAATGATCATTAGTTGTATCGTGCTATGCTTGTTTTATATCTAAATTAGTATCGATGTTTTAATGTTACATATTGACGAGAGAGTCATTAAATAAGTCAATTATTTATTGATCATGCTAATACATACCTTACTAGTTCGCTCAGGTGAGGTCTCATATAGTTATTTGGCAGGTCATTCATCATGTTGTATGAAAGCAAAAACTATTTTTCTTGAAGAACATGTTGCAATAAAGTCATCCTTTTGTGGCTACATTATTTAAAAACTTTTTCTATTGTAAATTTACCAGTCTCATCGAAAGCATATTTTCACATTTTAAGTTATGTGCAATATTAATACGAAGACTTGACTGCTGGAAACCTTGGGAATCTTCAAAAAACTGTCTATCAGAGTTTTGTCAAAGTTACATGGTATAGATGCAATTATTTTACTCTGATCATGAATATAGCCTTTGAAAATAAAGGTGTGGTGGTGAACAGCGCATATTTCTAATAAGTCCATTGTTACGCACTCGATTTCTAGTCAACAAGACTCGATTAATAACACTTCCTTGGAAAATGAAATATTGCTAGCAATAACATCAAATCTGCTTCAGTAGTATTATATCTCGGATACGAAATTTCCTCACACTCCAACAACTTCAAAGTAGAGAAACAAAATTACACATTTTACATTTTCTTCTATTACACCATCTAATGAAACAAATGAGATGACGCTTGAGTCATTTTTTTCGTTTCCATCTTGAGCAATTTACATCAATCTTGGAAGAGACCTTATTATCCACGACGATCGAGCATATGCGATTCCTTCGTGTCCTATTTCCACTAATACGAACCTCTTTTAGTATTTTCCTTAGTTTCGGCTTCGTTTTGCTTTGAGCTTTGTTTTTGAGTGAGAGACCGATCGTGTATACGGCATGATTTATATCTTTTTTCAGTCTCTCCGACAACATTTTCACGTTACACTTTCGTCATATTTATCAATCATTGCTATCACGTTAGTACAAGTGGTGTTGATGATGGATTTTCTTTACATTCGTTTTTCTATGTTCATTAGAAAGGTACTTTCTCTGACGTTGTTGTTTTGGAGATAAGTGGTTCGACCAACTAGATGATGCAATTATAGTGGATAAAGCATGAATCGTTTCTCTCGTATATTCATCTCTATTCGTTCGAGTGGTGTATGAGTCAGGCTGCAGAGAACACACATGTACATAGGTATAGCTACAACAACATCCCAAATCTATACCTTGCCTATTTCTTTCATCAGCTAAATTAATCTATATATGATGCTCATCATCGAAAATCTTCGATAAGTAAATCTTGTATTTCACACAATTATTATAGGACATGCTATCTAAAGCATGCATAGAATCCATTTTCATAGTATCATAATAAAGAGCATATACCATAGAGATTCCTTGGCAAAACTGAAACATAACAGATTGATAACCAAAATTTGAAAATGGTTTATCTATCAGTTTAGTCAGCAGGGACAATTTTAATTGCTGCTCAGTCGAGTAACTTTTTATATCTCTTAAAATACGTGAGATTCTGAATACTAAAACTTGATACAAACCTTCATTTTCAAAAATTCGATCGGTTTTTTGAATATCACCATGTATTTTGTCACAGCGAAAGATTTTAGCAAGAGAGTATGCCATCTAATTGCTTTTGTCATTGATACCGATCTCTTCAGAAATGTACAAATAGTTATACATTCAACTGTAATAAATTTGAGACTTAGGAAAACAATGAAGCGAAACAGAAAGTTTCCGTGCAACAAAAAATAACTCTTTTGTAATACTTTCTTCTGCTATCACGAATGACAAAAAAAAACAAGGCAAGAAACTATATTTTTATCATTTGATCCTACTATGACAAGCTAATTTGAGTGTAACGTTAAATATTCTTATTTCAAATTGTGGTTAATGATTTTGATCAACAGCACGAAATATTCAATCAAAAACAGTTCAAAAAGAAAAGAAATATGATTGTTGAAGTATTTTCTTTGATACTTTTTTCTTCTTTTAATGATAAATAGCAACTTGTGTAATAAACAGATGACGGTCGATAGTGCGTACAATTATTTATTTCAGTTTTTAATACATCATTGGTAGACGCTTCAAACAGCTGTTGTGCAAACACTGTAAAAAATTTTGCCAAGTAAAAATATGAAGTAAATTTATAGTCTTTACTCATCTATGACACTATTCTTCCATATTTTTTCTTATATAAATCACAATAGTATCGTACCTAATTTTTTTTAAAATTTCAATCAATATTTTAATTCTCATGCTCTTGAATGTCAAGATTTTGCATGACACATACTATAGAAAAGATTATTTTTTATGCTAACACTATGCATCGCATTTTTTTCCGATAATTACTTGTACATAAATCCTTGTTCGATTATCATCAACAGCTAGTTCGGTTTTAGTATTAAGTTACGTATTGAATATTGCTCTGATTTGTTTGGTATGTGTCTCCTTTGAATTTACTTCCAAAAATTAGTTCACAATAAGATCCTAGTTCTTTCTCATAATTCATTAATCTCATTCCTCATATGCCGCAATGTTATATTTCGTATTTTACTCCGAATAATTTAATTAGTTTAGCATTAAAGTATTTCTCTGTAGATTAACAGGTTGTAATATGACAGAAATACGATCATAATCTTCAAAGAATACTTCTCAAAATTAAAACCTTGAAATAAAAAATTGTAAAGAGAGAAGCCTTAATTAACAAACATTTTTCAGATCATGCTCTTTAAAATGGTATAGTAAAATTGTTTTTTTTTGGTTTCTTACATCAAAGCCATTCATAGACAACTTCATGGTGATGATGACGAAGTATTTGTGTTTGTGTTTCATTTCTAATCAAGACATGCTCATGAATATTTCGTTTGAAAACAGCATCAAATTCATTTCAAAAACGTATATTATGAATACAATTTGCAAAAAAAAAGTAATGAACTGTAAATACTTCAGTCAAGAATGCTTACATTAGCACAAATTTTGTCATACAAAACATTTCTTTTACTTTTTCTTCGCACTCTTTCTCACTTCTATGCTTTCATTCAATCGATCGTGATAAATTAACTCAACACAAGTATCCCGTCGATCTCTTCTACACATCAATTGCAGAGCAGACAAACATTTTAAAAAAAAAGTCGTAGAACTGCATTGTTTGTAACAAAGAAAAATAATATTTTACTTTATTTTTTCTTTGCTTCTTGTTCATATTTGTTTCTTTACTTTCTCATATGAAACCAACAACATTTGTTTAATCCATCAACCATCACGTCATGTAGTTTTTCTTTGTACATACAGCGACAATAAGAAAATCATGCGTGAACCGATGACATTATACGAGCAATCAAATGTTTTTCACAAAATAAATCGTCAACGTTTACTTCTTGATCATACAGCACGACATCCTCCTGTTTATTCATCTTTAACTAATGTTGATGATCATGATCTAGAATTAAAAAATCTTTCATTCGATGTTTATACAAGCCAACATCTGGTGACAACTGGAAAATCGATATTACCATATTCTGGACGTCATCATTTAGACGAAATTCTTTTACCTGTTATTGACAAAGATATTCATCGTGATGAAAATCAACGTCGACGAAAGAAAAAACGTCCTTCCTATCGTAAATCACTGTATCATCCAACCTCATCTAATTCAACTCAAGTTGATTTAACTCAATTGACTGCTCGTGGTACGAAGCCAGAACTTCAAACAATAATACCAATAGCCTGCGACGATGATATAATTGCTAATTCTCAACGTCATTATGCTCCACCACCAAGTCCATCCGATGATGAAATTGAACGATTATTATATAAGCTAGAAGCAATAAATCAATCTCGTTCACCTTCACAACAATCAATTAAAGATAAAGAAGGATATATACCATTTCGTTTACCAAAACTTCATCGACCAGTACAGTTTCGTCGTACATTAACGAATTCATCGCCCAAAGATATTCGATCAACTCTATCGAATTATCTTCAAAAATATTATTAAAAATATCAGATAGCTTATTTTCTGTATAAAAAAATGATTTAGTTTCGTAAATGGTTGTTTTTTTAGCTTGTATATCTGTTGAACTTGAAGCACTGCAGGCAATGTTTATTCATCAAAAGATATATTGAATAGATATACGTTCTCGAGTTTATTTCAATTTTCAGGTTAGTATGGATTAATTTGATCAAATATACATCCTGTTTTGTAAAAACTATAAAAAATTGCTGTCGAATTTATCTTTTGCTCTAGAAACGTCATTTTTACAGGATTTTTTAAGTATGAATCATATTTTCTATTCATCATTAGTTGACTTGATGAATATAATAGCGATACTTAAATAGAAATAAGAACAATCTTTACCACTTAGTTTTGATTTTTTTTTAAGAAAATGGATAATGATTATCTCAATCTATTGAATAAATTGTAAGTCTGACTTATGCACATTAAACAAGTTTTCATTGAACTACTATTGGTTGTTTTTCACGCACTTCTTTAATCACACTATAATGCATGGAAGCATTCTTTTTCTGACGCTATGAAAAATTTCGTTCACTATTACCAATTACTACTATATACGTCGTTTATCACAACTGAAAATGGTTTATTCAAGTTTTGATTTGAGTAAAGTTAGAGGAAATTTCACTTAGAAAAATTTTCTAATATAGCTCAATCAGTCGTAGAGATATATAGGAGGGTGGAAATGAGATGTTCTTAGAGCATAGATGAAGGACAGCAACTGAAAAGTCAAAGAAATAAGAGAACAAATAGAGACAAAAAGGGAACGACATGACCTATCGAACTAT